GCATCAGCAGGGGCAGATCTTGCCAGTTGAGAGAGCGATGCTCTGATGCCAACGCTACTGTTGGTGCTTGCGCTTAGGACCTCAAAACCGTCGGCCCCACTGGCGTCTGGCAGGCTCATGTCTTGCTCCGTCGGATCAATGAGGTCACCAGCAGGAAGTTCAGTTTCCAACAACCTGTGCAGCTTGGCTTCCACTACGACATCGGGCACCATCCGGAGGGCTCGCTGCACCAGCCCGCGCTGCTGGAAGGTGCTGAGCTCGGATGCTTGCAAGATTGCAGGCAGCCACTGAACAGCGCACCGGACCTCGTCGTGATCATCACTGAGCCATATCGCATGCTGCACAGCAGCAACTACAACTGGATCAACACGGTCCTCACCATCCCAACTATCCTGGTAAACTGATGACACAATCTGCAACCAGCTGTTCTCAGGTGGCTTTTCCTGGGCATAGGCTCTTGCAAACAGAGGCCTGAGACTCTGCCAGGGCAAAGCTGCAGACCTCAAGGCTTCAGCCGCTACTGGACCCATCCGTCGTAAGGTAGACCCAGCAGCATGGCGCAAGTCTGTATCACTTAGAATTCTGATCAGCTGCAGCACCACGTCAGCTACTGCAGGGCGCATCTCGCCCAAGTCGAATACCATGGTGGTGCGCACATTTATGTCTTGGTGTTGATCCTCCAGCGCTTTGATCAGCGGTTCAGCTCCGGCAGGACCCATCTGGCCAAGGGCACGTGAGGCACAGCCGCGCACACTGATGTCTTTGTCCTCCAAGGCTTTCACCAGCTCCGGTACAGCTTCAGCCGCTGCAGGGCCCAATTTGCCCAAGGCCCTCGCAGCGCTTCTGCGAACGTCCGCATCGTTTGGGTCCTCCAGTGCCGTGAGCAGCTGTGGCACAGAACGCACCTTGCCCAAGCCAAAGGAGGATGCGCTCGTTTTGTGCGCATCGCAGGCTTGGTCCTTGCCCACCGCGTCTGCCGTGTGAGCTGCTGCAGCGTCCATTTTGCCCAAGGCCTTCGCGGCGCTTCTGCGCACATTCTCAGATTTGTCCTCCAACGCTTTCATCAGCTGTGTCACAGCTTCAGCTGCTCTCATCTCCCCCAAGACATCTGCAGCTGTCCCGCGCACATTCTCAGCTTCGTCCTCCAACGCTTCGATGAGCTGCGGCACAGCTTCAGCTCCCGCCAGACCGATCTGGCCCAGGGCCTCCGCAGCGCAGGCACGCACGGCTGTGGCAAAATCTGTGGTCACGCAGGACAATTCCAGCTCCTCGACCTCCACTCCGTGCAACAGCCTTGGAGCAGTGATAGTGTCATCCTTCAACAATTTGATCAGTTGCGGCACAGCTTCAGCTGCTGCATGACCTATCTCTCCCAAGGCCACAGCGGATTGAAAGCGCACAAGCAACTCTTCATCCTCCAGGGCTCCGGCAAGCTGCTGCACAGCTTCAGCTGCTGCAGGGCCCATTCTGCCCAGGGCCACTGCGGCGTTCATGCGCACATCACCATTTTCATCCTCCAGCACTCTCATCAGCTGCGGTACAGCTTGAGCTGCTGCAAGGCCCATTTTGCCCAGGGTCTCTGCGGCACTTCCGCGCACATTCTCATCTTGGTCCTCCAGCGCTCCGATCAGCTGCGTCACAGCTTGAGCTGTTGCAGGGCCCATTTTGCCCAATGCCTTCGCAGCGATTTCACGCACATCATCATCTTTGTCCTCCAGCGAATTCATCAGCTGCGGCACAGCTTGGGCTGCTGCAGGGCCCATTTTGCCCAAGGCCTCTGCGGCGATTCCGCGCACGCTCTCATCTTCGTCATCCAGCACCCTGGCAAGTGGCAGTACAGCTTCAGCTGCTGCAGGGCCGTGTCTGCCAAGGCCTTTCGCGGCGCTGACGCGCACATTCTTATCTTCGTCCTCCAGTGCCTCCATGAGCCGCGGGATAGCTTGAGCCGCTGCAGGGCCCATTTTGCCCAAGGCCTCTGCAGCTCGCGTTCGGACAAACCAGTTCCGGTCATCCAGTGCTTTGATCAGCTGTGACACAGCTTCAGCAGCTGAGGGACAAATGTTGACCAAGTTTTCTGCGGCGGTCGTGCGGAGATCTTCATCGGTGTCAAACAACACTTTGATCAGCAGCGGCACATGGTCAGCTCGGGTAAGGAACCCATGTAAAACTAGAAGCGACTCCACACGCATCACTGCAAATGCAGCCGACACCAGGCGCGGGATTCGAGCCGCTGCTTCCCAGATGCTGTTCATGATATAGAGGCCTTGGAGCCCGGGAGCAAGGCTCGATATAGAAGCTCTCGAGCTCGCGAAGCCCAAACCGCCAGCAACACGCACGGCATGTGGCATGGGACTTGCACTGGAGACTAAACAGCAAAAGCTGCCAGGAGCAGGAGTGGTGGTGTTTGTCATTGCAACTACAGACAAGCATAACTTCCCAGTAAACATTCTAACCTTTGAAGAGGGCCACGGCGGCCAGGAGGGCCGAGCTACTTCTACATCAAGTTTCTGGACCTGTTTTTGGGGGAGAGCCAGTGTGCCTCTGCCAAAGAAGCCCTTAACTGTTCATTTTGAACCTGAAGTGGCCCCCAAGTGATTTTCTCAACTACCGATTTGAACCTTCGGGCCTCTCCCGAGTGCAACGTCATTAAACCATCTGCAGCAAATGGAGCCTAGAGCCTAGCGAGGACCCCAGAATTTTGACCAATCATAGTTCCAAACAACCTCGGAGCACCGGCAATTATGACTGGGAAACCTTAAGCTGGGTCCTCAACGTTTGAACCTTTTGGAAACCTTCAGCACGCAACTAACCATGACCTAAAGGACCTAAAGGATAGGCCAGCATCGGCGGGCCTTAGCGTTCTCCTCCCAAAGCTTCCACAGCTGCTCACGCATCCATGGCTCACCAAGCAACACCTCTCCCCCTTCACGTGTTTGAGTATGTAGGGATCACCCTACGTAAACATACCGAGATCAAGGCTGGTCCGAACCTGGGGCAGGCTCCAAGGCATTGTTCGATTTATATATTGCAAAATGATTGCAATAAGCTTCAGCAGGCCTTGCAAACCTGATTGAGCAATTACGGCCGCGAGAAACCACCTGCAGTCGGGACAGATGCTGAGGAGCGCAGCCAGGGGCTCAAACTTGATACGTAGCGTCCTGGCCGGACACTTCCTATATCCCCTGAACTTAGCAAAATGGTTACCAAACGTTCTAGCCACAGGAGTCAGATGCCTAGGATAAGCAGGGGCAAACTTCCGTGCACACACTTCTGTGCCTTCTGGCCAGGTGAGGGAATAGCAATTCAATTAAAACAGGAACTAGTCACACGTCTCGCAGCTTAAGCAGGACGCCGACAGCCGGCCATGCTGGCCTTTTTTTCCCAATCGATGGACCAAGTCTGTCCGCTGCGACTCCTGTACAGTCGCCAGAGGCGGGAGTGACCTCTGTTCTGTAGGCCTCCCAAGAGGGGCATTTATTTGGAAGTCTGTTTGAGGTACTCTTCCCCAAATGGAGTCCATCTACGGCGGAACCCGTACTATGGATTCTTGAAACCCATATACAGGGGAACCTGCAAGCTTGCATTTTCAGGGCAATCCCATTTCAGGCTGTGGCCTTTAGCAGCCCCAAGACGGAAACTCAACTTTATGAACCATAAAGCCCGCATAGTCCCCGATCATTTCGGCCACCGCACGCTCCCCATGGTACCAATAATGATGAGTACGGGTGATGGACGTCATAGCCTCTTGGCTTCCAGTTGCTTAAACCCTTAAAGTGGTTTAAACGTAACTCGCCCTAAACGGCGTTCCCAGCTCAGGTTGGTCTCAGCGGTCATCCCTTCATAGCCATCCTGGCAAGCAGAGGGGACAGGTGGTTCATCAGCTAGAAAAACAACTTCTTTGGGTCATATTATGGCATATGAGCGGGCGGCTAAATTCA